ATATATATATATATATATATACAAGAAGTTATGATTGAACAAAGCTGAATGGGGGGTATATACATGTTAATATATTATCATGTTTTTTATGCTTGAAATATTTTATAATATTTTTAAGATAATCATGTTAAATCACTTTATGGAAGAATGGTGGGATTTTGGACTAAGTTAAGTAAGAGAGTGAGTTGCTTTTTAGAATAAATAATGGAAGTATAATGTTACTGTTTACCACTTACCAATACCCCCTAAAAAAACACCCACAATCATACCTTTTTACACAAAGAAACTGAAGCTCCGATGGGAGCCATTGGGTTTCATCTGTAAGCCTTAGGCATATGCAGGTGAGAAAGTGAATTCATTGGCCATCTATAAGATACGGAAAGCAAAAAGACAAGGAAGTCTAAGAGTAGCAAGAACCGCAAGTGTCTCAAGTTATTGGACTCGCTGTTCCCAAACAAAGCTTTGGTTTTTTTCCAAAATAGAAAAAGTCTCATTATAAAGTAATTAATATTCTTTGAAAAAAAACTTTAAACACTGAAAAAAATAACTTTAAATGACCTATAATTGTACTAATAATAATCACTATTTATAGTTTCAGTATACATCCTTCTATTCATATGTATATATATATGTATACCAAAAAAAGCACACTCTACATTTTTTAAATCCGCTTTTCATGTTATATCTTAGAAATAGTTTCATGTCCAGAAAAAAAAAAAAACCCGTCATATTTCTTTCAGTGGCTGTATGGCATTATACTACTGTGTGGTTATACCATAATGCATTTAATCAAACCACTGTTGGTTTTTCCAGTCTTTTCTCATACGCAATGCTGCCGTGAACACACTGCACATGCATCTTTGAGTATTTGTCCATTTGTTTCCTTGGGTAAGTTCCTGGAAGGAAATTGGCTGGATCAAGTGTTCATAATCCATCATAAGTCTTTTGGTATCAGTCAGGGTTCTCCAGAAAGGCCAGCAGGCTAGAAACTCAGGCAGGAGTTAATGCTGCAGTCTTGAGGCAGAATTTCCTCTTCTCCAAGTAACCTCAGTTTTTGCTCTTATCTACAAATCACCCCACATTGATATTAGATCTTTGTTGAATATATAATTTGCATACACCTTTTTACTTTCTTCAGGGTATCCTTTAATGAGGAGACATTCTTAATTTTAGTGTTAGTTCATGTAATCTATTTTTTTTCTTTCCTAATCAGTTCCTTTTTCAGTCCTCTTTAAGTAATCTTCATCTACTGAAAGGTGTGCTTATGTTTCCTTAGTTTTAATTTCTGTTCAAAAGTGGGAAAGGGAGCTCTCATTAAGCAAAGCATCTTCCCTGGAATCCTGTGTTGTAGGAAATTTTGCAATTAGGTATCAATCCACCAGACATCTTTTTCTCCTGCTCGGAGCAGCACCTCCCCCTCACTGCTTTGCAGGAGCTCCTAAGAGCCTCTGCCCATTGTAGCATTCAATAGTCTTTGCCACAGACCCAGACTGGGCTAACAGTGATACTTTTGCCCCTTGGCCACAGTGAATGGTCCACATACGGCCTTACACCTAAGCTGAGGCAATCAGAGGTGGCTGCAGAGCTGTTGGCAGCTATGGTTCTAGCCCAGTGAGACTTGAGGGTACGAACATGAAGCCAGTTCCTCAAGAGAAGCAGAGCAGAGAGACAGCAGATCTTGGCCATGTTGAGTCCCTGGCTGCCTAAAACCTTAACTCCACCCTGGACCTTCCTGTGGGGTTGGCTATGTGGCCCAATAAATTTCTAACACTTATTAAGATCTTTTTTACTTTGGTTAAGTCTTGAAATATGTGTGCTTGAAAATGTGGTTCCATGATTGTATGTTTGAGAATGCTCATAATATGTCTCATTCTTGGAGATTCACAATGTGTATTAGCATATTAAAGGCCGTAAAGAACCTGCAGTAAAAGAAGCCTGTTTGTCTTTATTTAACCTGATGATTCCCAAACTTTTTTTTAATTGAAGTGTAGTTGATGTACAATATTATGTAAGTTACAGGTGTACAATGTAGTGATCTAGTTTTTAAAGGTTATACTCCATTTATAGTTATTATAAAATATTGACTATCTTCCTGTGTTATACAATATAAACTTGTAGCTTATTTTATGCATGGTAGTTTGTACCTCTTAATCCCCTCCCCCTCCCCCCTTCTCTCTCCTCACTGATAACCACTAGTTCGTTCTCTGTATCTGTGAGACTGCTTCTTTTTTTTGTTATATTCATTAGTTTGTTGTATTTTTTAGGTTCCACATGTAAATGATATCATACAGTGTTTGTCTTTCTCTGCCTTATTTCACTTAGCATAATGCCCTCCAAGTCCATCCATATTGCTGCAAATGGCAAATTTTCATTCTTTTTTATGGCTGAGTAGTATTCTATTGTGTATATAAACCACATTTTCTTTGTCTGTTCATCTCTTGTTTGACACTTAGGTTGCTTTCATACCTTGACAATTGTGAATAATGCTGCTAGGAGCGTTGGGGTGCATGTATCTTTTTGAATTAGTGGTTTTTCGTGTGTGTGTATTTTTTTTCCAGATATATACCCAGGAGTAGAATTGCTGGGTCATATGGTCGTTCTATTTTTAGTTTTTTGAGGAACCTCCATACTGTTCTCCACAGTGGCTGCACCAATTTACATTCCCACCACCAGTGCACAAGGGATCCCTTTTCTCCACATCCTCTCCAACATTTTTGTTTGTGGTCTTTTTGAAGATATCCATTCTGACAGGTGTGAAGTGATATCTCACTGAGGTTTTGATTTGCAGTTCCCTAGTGACTAATGATATTGAGCATCTTTTCATGTGCCTGTGGGCTATCTGCATGTCCTCTTTGGAAAAATGTCTATTCAAGTGTTCTGCCCATTTTTTTAATCAGGCAGTTTGGTTTTCTTGATATGGAGTTGTATGAGCTGTTTATATGTTGGATATTAATTCCTTATCGGTCATATCATTTGCAAATATTTTCTCCTGTTCAGTAGGTTGTCTTTTCATTTTGTAGATGGTTTCCTTTGCTGTGCAAAAGCTTATGTTTAATTAAGGCCCATTTGTTTATTTTTGCTTTTATTTCCTTTGCTTTAGGAAACAGATCCAAAAAAAATCTCGCTGCAGTTTATGTCAGAGTGTTCTGCTATGTCTCCCTCTAGAAGTTTTATGGTCCCAAACTTATTTTTAACACAACTGTTTTTTTTATGGCTCTTCTATTAATAAATAGCTCATGGAATCTTGGCCAGCAGGTCATCAAACTGGGAAATGCTGGGTCATAGGCATGAAAGGCCTAACTGCAAGCTGATAAATGAAAGGTGCTTAATCTCTGAGCAAGGTTTAAAAAATGTGAACATTTAATAATTTATATGCAAATCATATGTTTGGGGGTTTTTTTTGGTCAAAGAGTCTTCTGATAAAGAAAAAACTAGAAGATAAATTTAATGTATGGGCTTCCCTGGTGGCACAGTGGTTGAGAGTCCGCCTGCCGATGCAGGGGCTACGTGCCCCGGTCCGGGAAGATCCCACATGCCGCGGAGTGGCTGGGCCCGTGAGCCATGGCCGCTGAGCCTGCGCATCCGGAGCCTGTGCTCCACAACGGGAGAGGCTACAGCAGTGAGAGGCCCGCGTACCGCAGGAAAAAAAAAAAATTTAATGTAACCAATATGTAAACTTTTTTTCTCATGCAGGTTAGCCAATACACCTTTGCTATGTGCAGTTATAGAGAAAAAAAGTCTGAACCACAAGAATTAATGCAGCTTGAAGGATACACTGTGGATTACACAGATCCCCACCCAGGTAATTCTTGGTTGAATCACTTTCCCTGCCTCTCATGTATTCATGAAATTGTCATAAATATCCTGTGTCTATTCTCCATTTCAAACTCCATGCAGTGAATGGTACATATTCCATTTATATACCTAGACAAGATTTGATGGGATTTGAATTATATCTTTATGAGGCTACTTAGTTTTAGCCATAACTCATCATCTCTGTTATCTCAGTACAAGGATGAAATATGTGAAAGTTACTGAAACGGGGAAATTGTATGAGAAATAACAGTGCTTTCAGAAACTTCTTTACTGAAAAGCAAAAGGTACAAGAGACAGAAATAGGGAA